TGTGTCAATATCAAGCAAAATTTTCAGCCGAAGTGCAAATTAACTCTGCATTGGGACGGAAAGATCTTGCCCGACATTCACAACGAACAGCGGTTTGATCGGCTCCCAATACTAGTTTCTGGGCCAAACATAGACAAACTGTTGTGTGTTCCCGCTCTTAAAAGGGGCACTGGCGCACTTCAAGGACAAGCTCTCTTAGAAGCCGTTCAAGACTGGGGTCTAGAGGACAATTTAGCATGCCTGTGTTCAGACACTGAAGCTGCTAACACTGGCCATGAAGGGGGTGCCGCTAAGGTTTTCCAGAACCTTTTAGGTAGAGAACTTATATACTTGGCCTGCCGCCATCACGTACTTGAGATCCCATTGCAGGCTGCAGTGACCACGGCAATAGGCCCATTTAATAGCCCTGAAGTGCAGCTTTTTAAAGATTTTAAATCAAGTTGGAGAAATATCGACGTTCAAAAGTTCAGAGCAGCACCCACAGACAGAGCCGTTAAGACAGCTATTGAAACGGAAAAGGAGACTGTAGTTGCATTTTTGACAAAACAAATAGTGGCAAGTATTCCGTTAGTCATTTGTTAAACGAAAATCCAAATTACTAAACAAAATATCATTAGAGTAGGCCGAATTTCTATGACAAAAGTCGTCAATAATTGGATTTTTCTTAAAATAAGAAATAATTACTAATGGTACTTCTTCGAGGTTTTTGTACTGTACACGAAATATACTGATTGTTGATCAGATCTCGTATTATTATAGGAGAGACAGCCCAGAGATGACTATCTGGAGCTGGCTGAGTTGCTGATAATTTTTAGTGGTGGAATTCCCCCTCGTGGAATACACTTCAGGCGTCCAGGCGCTGTGTCCAAAACTAGGTGGATGATGTATGCGATATATGCAATCAAGATTTGGCTGTTCCGCAACCAGTTGTCCCTTTCTGCTTCACAAAAGAAGGGCCTCAGCCAAATATGTGTGTATGCTTTTATTGTTCATGCTGTTCACTGGTTTTCAGCACCTAATGCTATTACGGCTCCTAGACTTGACCTTGTGTTATACAAGCGCTTGCAGGAAATGTCTAGGGTAATTATAAGAATGGTTTTATTAAATTTTTTTTGGTCCGCATTAAGATTACGTGATTTTCCAGAATGACAATAATTTTGTGCTGTCTTGCAGAGGCGTACGTCGATTGCACCATTGGCTAAGGCTGCACTCTACAAACTAGAAAATCATTTGTGGTATCTAGGAGAGCACTTGATTTGTCTGGCATTTTTTGATCCCGATGTTCCGGTCGAAGAAAAGAAAAAAATGTCAAGTGCATTGCAGAATAATTCTCCTTCTAGCCAACATGTCAAACGAAATCCTGGTTCGGTATCACAAGAGTCCAGCATTTCCGACCTTGTAACGAAGAAATCACTGTTCTTCTTTGAAAAATTGTGCATTTCTACTGAATTTCTGAAAACATCACCAGAGAACTGGCCAGAAGAGGAGACCTACATTCACGGGAAAGAAGTGTGCGAGTCCTTGGTTGTTGTCAATGACATTGCGGAGCGAGGTGTTGGTTTAGTGAAGGAGTACATCAACACTTTATATAAGAAAGAGGAATCACTGCAGCAGCTCCTCCAAGTAGTTGAACTGCACCGTCGTCTAATTCCAACATCACCAAAGAAGGGTGATATTCAGAATGTGCAACTCAAATACTTTTAGTAACGTGTGATAATCATACTATTTCTATGTTGTGTAAAGAAAGTTATCTACTCTTATTACCCACATTTATTTTTGCACCGAGAGGTGATTATGTCACAAATATTTTTGTCTTAATTTCTCTTCTTTTCTAGTCATTTTTTTGTATAATTTATTTTTTATTATTATTTTTGAGTGCAGTCACTTGTTTTGCTTTTGGTAATGCTACTCAGCAAAATGTACTGAACAAAAGGTCTCATTCCAACATCACCAGAGTAGAGTGAAATTCAGAATGTGCAACTCAAATACTTTTAGTGACGTGTGATATGTCATACTATTTTTATGTTGTGTAGAGAAAGTTATCTCCCCTTATCACCCACATTTATGTTTCAACCGACAGGTGCTAATGTCAAATATTTTTGTCTTTATTTCTCTTCTTTTCTAGTCATTTTTTGAATACTTTATTTTTGTTATTATTTTTGAGTGCAGTCAGTTTTTTGTTTTGGTATTGCTACTCAGCAATGGGAACATATGGTTCCATTTAAACATTCACTGTGGTGGATAGAAATGTCCTTATGAATTTTTACGTCCGAAGAATGTACAAAATAATTAAAGAATTTATCTGACGTAGATTTGTCCCTCGATTATTTTTTTTTTCTTTTTTTTAATTTTTTTTTTGGCGCTGCCTGCTGATAAAGGAGTGCATTTGGGCCCATTGACGTTGATTTTTATCGTCTCAGTTCGCTATTTTCACCCCAACTCCAATTTGTGTCGAATTCGAGAGAATTCCGTGCCCCTGGGGGGTAGGCAATGCACTCCAATGCACGTGTCGGGGTTCGAGAATCTTGGCTGGTACAAGGGCAAGTAATTTCAGCTCTAGGTGTCGGCTTGGGATCGCTTGGGGCCCCGAAACAGACAAAAAATGCTTAAAAATTGCACTTTTCTGAAAATCGATTGAAGTAAAAACGCCATAAAATCTGAACCGTAGCACCTACAGCCCGCGTAGACACATATTCTTTTTCAGCACAAAAAGACGAATAAGGTGATATCCGTCTCGTTGAAATCGGCGCAAAACTTCGAGTTGAAATACCTCGCCTATTGCACTTAGGACCCTGTCTAAACTTCAAGGGCTTTGAGCTGTTGTTTAGAGTGATCTCACAGCCAAAGGAAAAAACACGTAAGCTTTTATTTTTCGTCCACTACTTGATTTTGACCGGCGTTGCTCTCTCCGAATATTTTGATTTTTTTTTGGGCCACCCTAACCTGTTCCCCTGCCGCGAGCCGCTGCACGTACGCCTCCCAATCGCGGATGGTAAGCCCCTGGGGCCGGGGTCCGCCGCTCCGACGCGTCCTGCGAAGGTACCGGTACACTGCAATCATTCGACGGGCCGGTCGCTCCCCTTGGACTGCAGCGAACAGGCGCCGTCGCTTGTGTGCTTCGTGCGCGGTGCGAGCCCGGGCCCTCGCCGTGTTGGCCTCGCGCAGCGCAGCGCCGCGGCCGACTGCAGATTCCCAGGATGACGCTCCACCCTGCGCTGCGCCGCCGCATGGAGGTCCTCGGCCGCACCTCGGCCCGGAGTCATCGGGGACGGCGTGGCGAGGAGCACCCCGTTCGCCGCGGTGAGGAGGGCCCATTGGAGGTGGCGCCAGGTCACCGTCGGCGTCCTGTCCACGATCGTTGCCAGCACCGCGTCCACCAGTGCACTCCTGAAAGCAATCTGAGTGTCCGCAGACTCACACAGCCCCTCAAGATTCCACGTCTGCCGGTACCGCCGTTGTCGGTCTGCTCCAGCCGGAGGGGGTGGGGCCCAGCGGGGGAGGAGCGGTGGGTCTCCATCCCGGGGTAGCTGGAGCTCCGCGGTGACCAGGGCGTGGTCGAACTGGAATAGAGGGCTGAAGGAAGCTTGGACCGTCCCGATGTGCGGCCAGTCCACGGCGATGTGGTCGACCTGGGATTCGTGGGCGTCCGGGTGTCCGCGGGCTCCCGCCCGGCTCCACGTCACCGAGCAGTCGCGGGCCTGGCGCCAGGTGGTGAGGGCGCGCAGGTCCGCCTGTCTGAGGAGGGCCAGGAGTGATGCCCCCGCGCGGTCCGAAGCCCCTGGGCGCAGTCTTGTGCCGACGACGTCTCGGTCGGGGAGGCGATCCTGGCGGGAACCCGGCCGGTGGTCCATCAGCTGGCCCGAGCATGCGCACAACACTTTGGCATTCCCTATTGTAGTTCCACAACCCGCCACCAGAGCGATCATTTGAATTTGGGCGCGGAGGATCCATCCCGTGACAATAAGGCACCAAGAGGATTTGACGCAACCCATCCCTGCACCCCGAGGAGACACCCCACCCCCTCCCCGCAACCATGAGGATTCCCGACCTGCACCCGGAGGAGAGAGGACCTGCACTTACGCCCCTCCGAGGTTGAGCCCCTCGGGGGGCGTGGGTCAGGCTCTCGCACGGGCGCATCTGATATCCCCGAACGGAATAACGTATACCCCCTCACTCCACCCATCCCCCCGCCTCGAGGGGACCCCCCACCCCAGCCCGTGACAATAAGGTACCAGTGACAATAAGGTTACAATAAGGTACCCTGCTTACTACTGAGACAGCATCGAGCCGTTTCTCTCGAGACGGTTTGGAGACAATCGAGAGACGGGTCGAAGAAGAACTCGTCAAAAGGGAGGATACAAGGCTGAGCCATGGCGGGAAGTGACGTCGGTGAGTGAGTTGAGTAAATTCGGCAAAACGTGAGGCGAGTGTGCGCGCCGTTGACCATCCGTTTGAACTCTAAGCCGGAATGAGCATCATCAAGAATTGTAGCCCGCCATTTTCAGGCGGGGAACTTGGGGGAGAGTCGCCCGCAGGCTCTCATAGTACTGTCGTTGTCAGGTCCGCTCGCGCAAGACGATCGTCCCCAGATGCCAAAGCGCCACCTATTGGCGAAGCAGTTGTACCCCTACAATGCGTCCATGATAGCTTGAGAGAGTCTGTGGTAGACTATACGATGTCTCAAACATGTCCCCAAAATATCTCGAGAAATTCTTTGCCATGCCAATAGTTGGCGCTTCGGCATCTGGGCACGATAGTCTTGCGCGAGCGGACCTGGCAACGACAGTACTATGAGAGCCTGCGGGCGACTCTCCCCCAAGTTCCCCGCCTGAAAATGGCGGGCTACAATTTTTGATGATGCTGATTCCGGCTTCTAGAGTTCAAACGGATGGTCAACGGCGCGCACACTCGCCTGACGTTTTGCCGAATTTACTCAACTCACTCACCGACGTCACTTCCCGCCATGGCTCAGCAGCCCTGTATCCTCCCTTTTGACGGGTTCATCTTCGACCCGTCTCTAGATTGTCTCCAAACCGTCTCGAGAGAAACGGCTCGACGCTGTCTCCATAATGTCTCAATCCTGAGACAGAAAACAGCCGTTCTTGAGAAATTTGCGATGTCTCCAAAGTATCTCTACACTGACTAGTTAAAGTCTCGACGCCGTCTCTGAAACCGTCTCCAGAAAGTCTCGAAAAAGACTCAACGGCGTCTGCATTTTGTCTTTACAATATCTCGGCTCGAGACACTCTAGATCGATTTC